CAACATGCAACAAGATGAAAAGGATTTTGCTCTACCCGGCTCTACCTGTTGAAAGACACTAGACGTCCTAGACCTCGTCCTAGACCTCGAACGCCTCATTCTCCGAAGAAGTCCGAACGCGACCCGTTGGGGAGCAGCACTCGCCCAATTACGCCAATTATATATACAAATGTCTTTTTTCCCATCCGCGTGGCGCGTCAAGCGCGCGAACTCCCGATGATCAGGAACTTTATTCGTACCGTGAGCTTCACCCCGTGCAACAAGTGCATTTGCCACTCAGAAGCAGGACAGGCTGACTGCAAGCAGCCTGCGAGGTGGGGATGGGTGAGCAGCAAGGCGGCTCGCAGGAGGTGAAAATAACATATCAGACCACGAAAAGTTGGTTGATGCACCATGTGGAATGTACTTAAAGGGATTGCCCGTGTGGCTCCACAAAGAGCAGCGCGAAGAAACGGATGCAAAGAGAACGCCTTTTGGGGAACGGACCGTCGGACCCCACGCTTGGAATGGGCTTTCCCCTCGAGACACCTCTTGGCTAATAACGAACGAACAGCTGCAGAAGAGACGGATCGATCCGCGTGGGGACGTTCGATCTTCTGTGACCACAATGAGTTGACCACTGGGTCTAGAAGATGTGAAAAACGATAAAAGACGCATCAAGACATGGCAGCTAAGTCAATTGGCATGACAAGATTCAAAGTGCATCAAGTCATCAACAGCTTGGACTCCATGTCCTGACTGTACCTACAGGACATGGCAGGATCCCTGAAATCACACAGGACATGGCAGGATCCCTTCCAGTTCTTATTCTCAGGGAGTGGTTTGGTCAGTGAATGAAGGAGCTACACTCCCTGGATATCAGGGAAGATCATGGTTACGTGGATGGCAATGACACGGCCCCTGGGATCACCCCATGGATCCCATGATGGCCATATGTTCGGGATCCATGGGCGTGATAAAGTGAGACAATCCAATTGGGGTGCTTCCGATGACCGTAGCTGCACAGGGAACCTAGGCACCATGATCTATATCCCAGACACTCCATGCCTACCTTGACCCCTGAAACCACCCCAACTGACGGGCATCTATGGCAGGGACCGATGGACCCCCCCCCTCAAAAGCTCCAAACCTGATCCTCAAGGTACGGCCTGTGAAGACGGCTGCATCCGCATCTTCAACATCGCCTTGCGGAAGGACCCGGCAAAAACCTCCGCACCCGTCGAACGCCGATGCTCGGTCAAGAGGCGATCGGATCGAAGCGATATCGGCGACGGCGAGATCGGTCGAGATGGGTCGATCGGTCTACGAGAGGTTGGGAGACCGGGGAACGAGAGAAGATGACAATGGGAACAAGCAACATGTTCAGTCGTGACGTGCACCATCGTGCACCCAATGGGTCGAAGGCAGTACACCGAACACATCCGTAGACCCCTGAGATTTGTTGTTTAATTGAAGATCGATTGCCTTCAAAGTGATGAGAGTGATGACAGCAGATGGATTCTTCCGGGCTATGAACATTTAAGGCTCACATCAAGTCCCTGCGCTTTTTTTTTGCTCTCTCTCTCTCTCTATCTAAATTGAACATGTTTGCCAGCAGGATGTGTTATCCCCCTGTAAGCAGGAGAACATGTTCGTTGATGCAGAGATCCTCACCAGATGTAGGAGAGATGCTTCAGAAGTAGAAGTATAGTGCTAGCAAACCGTACCTTGTCAGGAAATCGTGCTATTAGATGCTATTTACTCCGTAGATCCTCGTAGAAGTAGAGTGTAATCTTCATTTCGAAGGAGCTGCAGTGCTTTCACACCGGGGAGCCACTGACCTGGTCTGTACTGTCACCCAGCGGCCTCGAGGCGGGGGTCAGGAGGATGAGGAGTGATGTTGAATGTGGTTCATGATTCTGTTGCTCGACAAGCCTTCCCAACTCAAAATTATTCAAGATATGTCTATTTTTTCAATCTTCTCCCCCTTGTGACCCGTTCTCTTGACTTTGAACAGTGCCTGTTTCACGAGTCATAGCCTCGCCAGTCCTCGGACAGTACCTCCAGGTGTGCTGTACCTCCAGCGAAGGGCAGTTGCAGCCTCTTGGCGTCAACACGCGAAGCCTCTGCGCGAAGCCTCCAAACCACCTGGCAATTGATAAAGAACTTGAAGAACACCGTAGTTCACTGTTTTGAAAGCACCTGTTTCTCTCAGAGGGGGCGACACCATCTAGCATCAGCTAGCACCTTGCAACAGCAGAGAACATTATATATGTAGTATATAGCTCCTCCCGGGTGGGAGGGTGCAACATCTCCACGCTTCGTCGAGTCGCTGGCAGCACCAAGGATCTGGGGTGTGGAGGGCCGCATCAGCCGAAGGCTCAAGGAGCGCGAAACGACGCGGCGATGCGGCGGGTAATAGGATATTTGGACCAGGCCTCTACTAACCCTCATCACCCACTGTTGCAGGTAATAGGATAGACCCAAACTACTAGTATCTACGGGCAGTTGTTGACTGAATAGAATGTATCTGTGGCTTTTCAACACTTCAGCTATTCAGTACTGTACCTCGGCAAAAGACACGCAACACCCACAGACGGTCAGTCGTGGTGATTTTTACTCGGCCTGGCATCACCCGGGTTGGCTCAGTGTTCCCAAGTCGTTCAACAAATTAAATGACTTTCAGATTGGGGGGGTCTGGCTTTGCTGGTCAACTCCAGTCTTGAAGAGTGCTACCCGTGCAACCGGACGAATATGGTTGAGCACCCCAAAGTCCCAACGGCGACTTTGAGGGACATAACAGGTGCAATATCTAGAATGTTCCAAGCACGCATGATACGGTTTGTTCTTTTCCATGATAGAGTCATTTTTTTGAGAAGGTTCCATTCCGCCTGGCTTCAGGAGCATCAGCGCTCGTTGGAGGGAAGCCTTGACGTGGTCCCCGTGGCAGCCCGCCTTTTTGGTCCAGGGTTCCAGGGTGTCCGGCGTCCGGTGACGGGTTGCATGAAGAGATCCTCTGGCTGATGTAGATCATCAGACAGCACACCTGGGGTTTAACCTGGTCGAACCAGAGATGCACTGGAACACATGAGTATGCTCTGCTCTAAGAATTCTGAGAATCTTCAGATGGTTTCATGAGGCATCGGTGCCACTCAAAATCTGAGTCTCATCATGATACAGGTGGGATCAGGTGGGTGTGAGATGTGCCTGAATTGGAGTGGTGTTGTAGGAGGTACTTTTGTCTCATTCAAGGCATAGTGAGTGACCCACTGGCCCACTGTATACTTCTGAGAACGGCATGGGAGGCAACCGAGAAAGGCATGCGAGGCAATCCAGACATCCCGCAAGCCAAGTGGCTGAAGAAAGCTGAAGAGCATGGCTGAAGAATGCCTGAATATGAAAGAACCATTTGTCCAGGTGGGCTCATGCAGATTCAGATTCTCCTGAGCCATGCAGAGTCCGGAATCAACATGCCAGAACTCGAGCATGAAGAATCCTCTAGACTCTACGCCCTTTGATTCTTGGAGCCCGGCCCCGGCCTCATAGTCACCCACAGATGGGAAATCCTCTTGAAACCCAGTGAACAATATGTTGACATCTACTGCAACCCAACAATATGGACCACAAAAACTCCGAAACCTTCTTGCATGGATGCTCAATCTCGATGCTCCGCCAAACACGGGCCTTCCGAAACGCAGCAACGCGGCGCGGAGTGCATGAAGCCTCGCCAGTAATTGAGGGTCCTCCCCTCGTGAACGGCCTCACCATGGCCCCCAAGCGCGGCCGGCCCCCGAGCAGCGCCGCCGCGAAACCGGCGTGCGGTCGAGGCAGATGGACTCCGGCTCCGGAGCTGGTGGATAGTCTAAGCTGCAGGATGTTGGGAAACAGCTGGCCTAGCCTGGTAAAGATGGATAAGAAATGGGGTGATTTTCATCGACATGTTCGATCCAGGTGGAGGGAGCTTTGGGAAACACATTCTGTGGGACATTCTTGTGTTAGGAGTCGATTCATGGATGCGAGATTTGATCGAGGCTCACAACGGCAGGAGCCACTTTGAGATACTTTGAGGAATGGCTGATGGGCTAGCCTATTTTTTCCAAACTCCCTTCTGATCGAATTTCCGGGTTTCATGTCATCTGCTGACCTGCTGGATTTTTTTCTGCAACTTTAAGAGCTGTTTTGGTGGGACAGAAGTGAGCGTCCACTTATTATACAACATATCTTTCCTGATTACTCATCAGTGATGACATTGTTGTAATTTGTTTTGTAAGTATCATACGTATTAAATACACAATATCCCACAATTATACACAAAGGGTGTTAGAATATCATAGCGGCATGTACGCCTCTTCCTTTCCAACACATTCCAAAACACTCTTTCCACCAGGCGCCGGCGCTGCCTCCAGCGCTGCCAGCGCCGCAAGCCCCTCTTCGGTGGTACTGCGAGAAGCTGCGGCCGCGGCCAAGTCACCGGTGCAGCTGGGGCCAGAAGGGCGAATGTACATCATTAGGCCAGGAACGAAAAGTCTGGAGAATCGGGGAGGAGGAGAGAGTAGGGAAGCGTAGTAGCCAGGTTTTGATGAGATAGCACGTGGGGATGAATGGCTAGCAGCCTGCAGCTCAATGGGTTGTATGTGATGTGGGTCCGGGTTGGAGCCCAAACCCAAAGGAATCGGATCGCCATTGACATCCCAGTGGTTCCAATGGTCCGGGCAATGGCTTGGAGCACTCGGGAAGGATCGGGAAGGTCTAAGAGGTCGAGTTGTCTGAGAAAGACGTCACTCCTGACTGCCACGTGGTAGGAAGCCTCCAATAAGGAGTGACCAAGCAAGTCAAACCAAGAACGCAGAGTAGACCTGGAATGTAGACCCTTTCTCTCTTCCGAAAGAAGAACCTCGTGTTTTTGGGGTGTTTGACCACTTGTTTTTAGGGAACCCTTGGTGCTCGCACTTGCCCCATACCGGCGGGACGGTGGGACGGTGGGAGGAAACGATCCCAACACGCCGGCCAGGGAGTCCATCATGCCGATGTTGCAACTGACGCAAGAGGAGAAACCCATCATTTGGCAGCCCTTCAAGTGTCCAAGAGGTCAAGCCCTTGAAGGTCTTGGCAAGAGGCGCGGTGGTGTGCGCGTGGTGTGTGCGCCTGCCGCGGCGGGGTTGGCGGGCGGTTTCGCGGGCGGACCGGGGTTTTGGGACAAGGAGCGGATGGACATGGGACTGGCAGGGGAGTGGGGCGATGAGCTTTTATGACTTCTCCAAGTGCGCTAAGGCGGCTAAGGATATAAGCTCAACAGCCCCTGATGACTCATGACCCCATGAAAACTGTTTGAAGAAATTCCGTGAAGGAAGAGGTCCCCGGTCCCATATGAGTCCCGTACTGAGAGGGTCCCATAAGTCCCAGTCCTTTCGGTGCGTTGCAATCAAAGCATTGCCTGGAGACCAATGGCCTGAAAGGATATTAAAACGGATCCTGCTAAGGGTTGCTGAGGGTTGGACTCTCAGAGGGTCCCCCCCCCTTTTTAGGGCCAAAGAAGGTCGGACTTCTGCACGGCCTGAAGTTCCGAGTCCGGCCATGCTGCCGGTGCTGGCCGTGCACCAGGACCCTGGGCGCCCGGATTCGCGGCTCCACCCAGTCGGTCGCCACGGTGAAGCGCTTCGTGGAAGACGACGCCAAGCCGCCGGAGGCGACATGCGGAACGGTTGGATGGGACGGTTGGTTTGGTCATGGAGGTAATCCAAGAGGTGAGCAAGCCCATGGATTCACTCATTTATACTTAGTACTGTATCATTTAGTATCCATCCATCTATTTTTGTTTTAAAATTACATTTATATCTTATTGTATATATATATATGATTATATGAAATTATATGTCATTGTCCCTCTCCCTAGTGAGAGTGCACTTTTTGCTATCATCACTGTCATATACTATCAACACAAGAGCATCACCTATATAACCTCATTCACTTACCCACCTCATGGTGTATTTCACCTCCTTGGTCCGCAGGTGATCGACGAGGCCACGGTGGCCTCCCACAAGCTGGTGCTGTGGACCCCCGCCGAGGACAACCCGGAGCGGCGCAAGGACCGCGGGGGGGGGGGGGTGGCGGAGTGCAGCGAGCTAGTTCCGATGGGATCGCAGAGAGTCTCTTGCACAGCTCCAGTGGCCCATCCCATGGCCCATCCGGGGAGAGACTTTCGCGTGGGACAGCGTGGGGCGACTTGAGCGGTTCGCTGTATGTACAGGGTCCTAGTTCAGGTCTCTGGGAGGAACATACCGGACGTTTTGTTGGGGATGTACAGGGCGGTGATGAAGATGCTTAGACTCTTTTGGGCTCACGGACTGGGCTCCAAAGAACTGTGAGTTTCGGAGGTCTCGAAAAGAGAAGATGCATAGACTAGACTCTTTGACTCCTTAGGTTGGTTGAACCTGACAGGTGCCAAAGATGTCGGGCTTGTTGAATTCCCTCTAGCAGGTGATAAGACCTTTCTTGCTCCTCGCGGGATGTCGGAGTTTAGTGCAGATGCTGGTGCACTTGTGACTCACCGCATTGAAGCGCGTGACCCAGAAAGAAGGTCGGAGCAGCTGTGGTCGTAGTTTTGACCTTTGGTGATTTGCATTTGCTCAAGCTCCTGTGGGGTCAGGCAGGTGTCGCTTGATTATCAAAGATGAAGACTGGGTGGAAGTGATCCTTGAACTGACCATCAATCAAAAACGGTTTCTAGCTGCTAGCTCTCCTCCAGAAGTCCCTTTGCTGTTCCAAGCTTCAAAGATGCAGTTCCTTGGTTTCCACCAGGACCCAGTGCCTTCGGGTCCCAGCTGGGCCGGCCGTTTCGTGAGGAAGTGGTGGTGGACTACGATGTCTCGTGCAAGCTTCGGGAGCATCAGCGGATCGGAGTACCTCGTCTCCGCACAGCGTCGGAAGGGGGGGCAGGAGGGAAGGAACGGAGTTCCATTGGATGGACGCCTCACCGTCTCTAAGACTCTAAGCGCAAACGTTTGATATTTTGCTATTGTAGAAGACACCACAAGAAACCAGATTGGATATATGGAGGCCTGGGCCCACTGGGCTAGTCTGGGCCAGTCTAGGCCTGCGCCACTGACACACCTGGATATTGGTTGCACCTGGATGCTTCGCACCGGCCGCGACCTGAGGTGCAATTCCTCTTCGACTGCTTGATGGGTCTCAAGGACTCCTCTCCGACACGGCGGGCTGGGCGCGGGCGGGCTGTGTCGGTCTCACGTGGCGGCCGCTGGTGTGTCTGTGGTCCGCTGGAAGCACCAGACATAGGCCTGGCCTCTTGGCCTCAGCGTAGGCCTCGGATCCTCCTTCCCATTTTCCACTAAGAGAATGGGTGCTCTGCCTTGGCCACACTATAACCAGGGCCCGGTCGTTTTTGTTGTAGTGTGAACCATGGTTGTTAGCAGAGGGATTTAATCGGTTTGTTCGATTTTGCTGATCTACCAGTGAAGTCGTTGAAGTCCCTGGTTTGATCCGACCAAGTGGATTGCATATTGTGTATCGGATGTGGATCAAAGGACTTTGGCCAACGACAATGGATTCCCACCTGAAGGTCTAAGGTGGGGATTCTTTTTGGACCGTTTCGGTGTCATCTAATCTCTTTGGTCGTGATGGTCAGTGACTATACTTTCAACAGTTTCGGAGTTCTTCTGTTCCTGCTTCTAGGACTTCAACGGATGCGGCTGTATCCTTGCGGATGACATGGGCTTGGGAAAGACCTTGCAGCGCCTCGGTGTGGACTTCGCTCCGAAGTCACTAGTCTCGTGCGACCGCAAGCTGCTGACACGTCGCAATGAGAAGGGGGCGCTGGACATCAATACTTGATGAATCTTGGATACAAAGATGACCAGTCCGCTCCAACCAGTGCACAGAGCAGTTCTGCTTTTTCCGAACTAATCCAGGTGGCGCAACCGAACACCGCTCAGGGGGGGCTTTCACGGCCTTTTAGACCTGAGCTGAGCCTTTTGCTTTTGGTTGCTTTTGGAATCGTAGCTCACTGAATTAGGGCATGCCATATTTCACTTTATCCATTTCTGCGCTGCCTTCGGAATGCGGCATTCTGGTGGGGTTTCCTCGAGATTGGTCGCCCCACGCCAGGACACTTGTGGGATCTTGTGGGTTTTGTATGACAAGGTTTCGTTCATTTCCAAAGACGGTTGAAGGATAAAAAAATTATAAGGAGTGCATAGGAGTACTGTACCATGTTTTCTTTTGTTCCGGCCAGGTTGTATTGCGCCTGTGAACTCTGGCCTGTTTGGGTGTTAGTTGCGGCACCATCCCAGCTGCAAGAGAGGGTTTGACACTGAAATGCCCCAGAAGTGAGCGACCCCCCCCAGCCCTGCAGTCCCATGCCATCAGTCATCATCAGTCCTCTGTTGATGCTGGCACACCAGACCAGCATCAACAGACGGAGCATGACGGAGCTTACCCCCTTGACATGCATCAACAGACCAGCCAGAAGGATCCATTCTGGAGCCTCCCTGACAGTGCTTGAGGTCCGTGGCAGCGATTTGGACTCTCCTGACGCAGGCGACGCCATCGTGGTCGGGATGGAACGACACGTGGGAAGGAGGGCGACATCAGTTTCAGACGGTCTTACTGTTTTGGTGGCACAAGTATATAGGTGTTCTTTCACTTCCCGCTGGGCTTTTCGAAGTATTGAAGTAGATGCAACTTAACATTGAGTCACTGAGCGATGTTGGTTTGGTTTCTGCCGTTCAAAGTCTCAGTTTCGCCATTGTGATTCATTTGATTTTCCTTGCACTGCACCGATAATTTTGGTGGATGTGGGTGGTCCCAAGAAGATCGTTATTGCCTTTTGACCTATTCGACACAACCCCTGACAAGGCCCCCCTGCAAAACGTTCAAAGATCACAACATCAAATATCCAAACATTCCCCCCAAAAGTAATATCAACAGCATACCAGTTGCGACCGTTTATTTCCCTTCTGCGTTCCCCTCTGAGGATCTCCAACCACCCCCCCCTGACCAGCTTCGCCTCCCCAACTGACGCACGCCGGACCCGCGCGCCTCCGCGGCGCTGGCAGGGCGGCCCATACGGCCGCGGCTGCTGCCGCAAGGCCCTGGTGCTGTGTCCAGCCTCACTGGTGAAGAACTGGGCGGGGGACGCTGGGCGGAGAGAGTGTTTTTTTTTTTTTTTTCGGGGATGGGGATGGCATGTTTGGGGCCGAGGGGGTGGTGAACACGTACAAAAAGCAGATAAAGAAACTTATACAACGACCAGCAACTCTTCAAGCTGATTCAAGTGCAGCCTTTGAAATTGGTTCAGAAGGACCCTTTTTTTGGACTGCACGATACTGCAAGATGCAGACAAACGACCATGGACATTTGACATTTGTGATGAAACAGTGTCCGAGAGAGGTGTTTGGAAACAGATTCAGTTTTCTTTTCCTAGCCTCAAAGACCCAGGGTCCGGGGACAGGGACCCCTTTTTCAAGTCCCTATACAGCCCCAAAAGCCTTGTACAAAAACAGAACGCGAAATCACTCTGTATACTTGGGATTTGAAGTGTCTTGAGAGGGATATACATATATATATATATATAAACAATTGGAATCCCGATTCCGATTCCTTTTGCCTGCACTCTGTGTGGGGCCCTGCAACTGCGGCGGGCACAACTGAGGAGCTTGACAAGTGGCTCCATGGAAAGTGCAAGTACCACGCCCCTTGGTTTGCATGGAGATCTTCCAAGAACAGCTGTGCTGTCCTGTGGCCACCTGCGGAGCAAGCAATGGACCTCCATAGGCTCAGCTTGGCCTACATATAGGAAAACCATATTTTTGAACAGATTCGATCAACTCTGGGATTTGTAATATTTTTTAAAAGGACTCTTCAAAGATAGAGCATGTTTTTTCCCACTTGAAGTGGTGGAATTGGATGAACAACGACGACGACCTAGGCCTGTGCAGTGACTGGCCAGGCGGGGTCGGTTTCATTGAGTGCATTGGTTGAAAGGACCCCAGATAGGTAAGTCATCTAAAATCACACAACGGGCGACTTTGAAACCAGATTTGTATTGTATTCGAGCTCATTTGTGTAGCATATTTTGCATGGTTTGGTTTTCTTCCCTTTCCGAGAGATTCCCTGTTTATGGAAACTCAGACCGGTTCTCTGTCTCTCTCTCTCTCTCCCCACTTGCTTCGATTTTGGACAGGTCAGCTCCTGGACCAGGAACCTATACAGTAGAGGCTCTATCCCTAGGGCTCCAAGTACCTTCTAAGAAGGTGTTTGGGGTGAGTTTAGAGGGTCCAAATACCTTCTGAGGAGGTACTTGGAGCCCTAGGGTGTGTATATATATATATATAGAGATTCAGGATAGTCTCCAGTCTATGTTTGTACAGCCATTGGGTGGTCCATTGTTAAGTGCAGCACCCCAGACGGCCCATGTGAGTGGTTTGATGTGCAGCACCCCTTTCGGTCGCAGGCGCAGGTGGCGGGCACCTTTGGGTCCTTCAAGTACGACCGCGATTCGCGGGTGCCTGGGCTGTCGAAGGGAAGTCCCGGGGGTGCACATAGTTAGTTTGGTGCTTGTAACAGGTTCCCACACACTGCGTACGAGGGTGCCACAAACGTGCTTAAAAGGTTCAACATGTTCATTCCATGTGGTGGATCATGATCAATATCTTTGACCACTTCCCGACAGCCAAGCCAAGGTGCTCATGGTCATCTTGTCATGTGGAACCTAGCAAAGAAACCCTACGTCAAGCATGTTTTTGTTTGGTGGAGGCCATCGCTGCGCCATGTCGCCATCATCCCCCTGTCTTCGCTGGATGCTGCCAGAGACTTGGGAAATGTCTCAATCACTGCAGCTGCATATGCCAGGTGCCCACTGAGCAAGAAAGATTACGCCGCAACTGCGTGGAAGTGTGATTGAAACTGTTGCTCGAAATGTATTTGAGAGACTCTATCCAAACTCTGTGATCCAAGATCCAGTACCAGGAGAGCGATCTGATGGGAGACGGCGTGGAGCCAATTCTGCAGAGTACGACTGGCTTTGGGACCACCGAAGAGTACAGTGCAAGTCGGCGCAGATGTGCTGGGAGGAAGCAGGCAGGAGGTGGCAGGTGCAGTTTTCGGAAATCAAGCACAACTTGCTTGATGATCTCGTGTTGGTTCTATACACTCCTTCTGGACTGCATTTGTTTCTTCATAATGATGGCAGAAGTAGGCTGACAACGACTCGCGTGAGAACATCTTGTACATTGAAGATTGGAAGTGGACAAAAGGCGATGGGCTGGCGTGAGGCAGAACATGCAGTGTTCAGGAAATGCCAGCAGATCGGTCAGTTCATCGCCACCCTCACGACTTGGGATGACAGGGTGCTTCAAGCATTGCAGGAGCGCACTCAAAGCTCTGGTTGAAACGGCGTCAAGAAGCATTTGAGCAACACCCCTTTAACTTCATGACGCCCACTGAGCGTGGGTTATTTGTCCAGCGTGTTGTTCAAGAAGTAGATTATATTTGCCATCCTGGTTTGGAGATTGCTAGTTCCACGCCTTACCATTCACCATGTGACTGGCACAGAGATGGTTTGCGCTTTGAATGCAAATCTTCCAGGCCCACATGGTCAAGAGATTCCTGGAGTTGCACATTTTGTTCGGTCAAGTTTTCAGAATTTGACATATTGTATTTGGCTCTGGATTCTCCGCACGCGCTTACCATTTTCAAATTTGGAGGAACTCAGTACATTTGTTCATCTGGGCTGGCCAAAGTCCCAGGCCGGGACAATGTTGCCATCAAGGTTTATGGTCCACGAAACGAAACACGGATTTCTGTCGCAGTAGACGTGATTGCCGAGAAACTCCTGAGCTCGGGTAGTCAACATGTGGCATCTGTGGTGTGGTAACAACAACTCCTGCAGCACAATAAGTCAGAAAACGTCGGTGAGCAAACTTCGGTGCTTGCAGCTGATTCCTGGCAACACCAAAAAGACTGGTTACTGTACTTGTTGTTGATGGTGGCTGCAAAGCACCCTCGCAGAGAACTGACTGGAACTCAGACCTGAAGCATTTGCGAGATTACTCTCACCCTACTCGACCTTGTACTCGTACATCACAAATGGACCCTTTTGCGTCGGTTTGCACTTGTAAAAGGAAGATGCCAGTGATCCGTAAGATGGCCCAAAATGAAGAGAACTCCTTCCTGACATCGGTTGGTAGTTGACGATTGTTTCTTTTTGTGAACATCACAATATCTCACAACTGTTCAGAATCCACCCCAAGCTTCTTCCGTAATTTAATTAATCCACGTTTTTCCTGTGCTGCATTTTTGAGACACAGGCCCAAAAAAACTTTGGACCTCTCCAACCAATCTTGCCACCACAACCCCCCCCCCGGCGGAAGCATCCCGGACTTCAGGTGCTCATCGCCTCGTACGAGACCTTTCGGAACCATGCCCGCGAGGTGTGGGATGGGGTGAAGGACGTGTGTCTATCTTTGGAGCCAGTGAGGGACAGATGTGGGCGTTCAGCGGGGCTGCGAAATGATGCGTTTGGAGTTTCTGAGGAGGGTGTCCTGAGAATGGGGGGCCAACGAACAGAGCAGAGAGCTTATTTGCAATAGTTCCATTCGCACCAGTGCAGGAGTTGCAGTCATTGCAAGTATAGGCAAAAGTTGCTCTCGGCACCATCTGAAGATTCTAAAGAAGAACCCACATTCTGTTCCAACACTCTGTTACACTGTTCATTGTCATGAGTAAGTGTGTCCAAGGGAATCATTTCCAGCGTCTCTCATCGTGGCACGGGAGCCTGCCTTCCTCCCCACCATATACCGCAGGTGGAGGACTGTGGCATTGACCTGGTGGTTTGCGACGAGGCGCACAAGCTGAAGAACGACGAGGCGTGGGTGACCCGCGCGCGGCGCCAATGTGGGCTGGTCTGGTGCAATGTGGTGCAAGAGAGCGCATATGTGGATGACCGATTACTGGTGCACTGGTGCTTCCCAGAGTGCGAGGAGGATCATACTCTGAGTTGACGAGAGCTACCTTGTGGTTCATGAATTGTTGAATGGTGGAGGTGAACTGTTTGATCTTGTCCAGAGGACTCTCCATCAACAGTGCAAATATGCTCATTCAGAGTGACTTCACCTCGATGGAGAGAGTCAACTGTGTAAATAAACTCATCGAAATGTCAATGGATGAGTCAACAGCGTAATGACATGACATGACTTTTTCACTCACCTGCTGCAGACCAGTGACCAAGGCCGCCACCACCAAGTGCATCTCTGCCTTGCCCGCTAAGCGGCGGCTGCTGATCTCTGGCACACCCATCCAGAACAGCGCCGGGTCGATGTATTGGGGAAGAGTTGACAGTTGGAAGAGCTTCCGGAAAACAACACTCTGCTTTGTTGCCTCAGAATGAAAGCAGGATCTCTCCCCATCATCCCCAACCAATATCAATCAACGGCTCTTTCAGTTGATGGTCCATTCTCTCGTTTGCTGGTATTTTCTGGGTGCTCCTTTAGTTTAAAAGATGGGAACATCCTATGCACATAGGTTCACAGAAACGGTTACATCAGCAGTTCGCTTGAACATGAGGTGTGATTTCTCCGTCTTAGACAGTATTCTTTTGATCTTCCTGTGACACTGCCTCAAAACAAGTCAACTTTAGATGTAACCTCTATTTCCCCATGTTGGAGTCTGTTTTTTTGGAGGAACACTTCTAAAATACCCGACTAGCAGATACTCTACTATGGTAGAACCTGGCGTGCTTGATCATGTTGGACCCCTGCTGCCACTCGGAGTGTTTCCGCGTCCTCGCCGAGGCTTGGAGGAGTTCTTCACCTTAGTCAGCCTTGCCAACCCAGGCGCAGTGAATCCCGATGGGCACCACAAACAACACACGAACGCACCTCCTGTGCTGGACCCATCCGACCCGTGGCGACCCGTTTGGTCCCAGGACTCGACAGTGAACAGGACAAAGGGAAGCTCCAGTGCCGGTGGAACATCGTTCCCCAGAACTCGATGTCAATCTACACTCCCTGAAACCATCATGGAAGTGGAGTTCACCGCCTGTTGGGTATTCTGAAAATGGTCATCAGAGGGGTCATGCCATCCACTTCCGTGATTGTTCCAGGAAGCGTAGGCTCTTCGTCACTTGAGTTTGCACCACCTTTCACTCCCGTTCCGCCCCATCCCCCGCCGCTCTCGCTTCGAGCAGCGGGTAGCTCCACTCAACAGCGGAGGCGTCTTCGGCGAGCTGTCGGAGTTCCGGCGCAAGTTTGCCAACCCCATCTTGCGCGGCCGCGAGCCCACGGCCACGCGGGAGGAGCGGCAGAAGGCCGAGGAGCGATGCCGAGCAATGCGGGTGACAACCGGGACGCAAGAGACGGATGGACGTGGGAGCAGCTTGGGGGTGCGGAAGAAGGGGAGGGGAGGCAATCTAAAGATATGATGAATTTGGATGAACTGCGGGACACTGGAGTCGGATGCAGCTGGATGGGAGTTGAGAAGAAGAGTCCAAGGGCGTGAGGGCAGGTCACTGGTCCATGTTCCGGTTTGTGTGGTTGTTTCTAAAATACAGATCTCGGCAAAATCCACCCATGTGTCTCACCTGGTTCGTGGTGGTTTCATTCTCTCACCAGGAGATGTTGTCCGAAGTGTCTCACGTCACGGACCAGTTCATCCTCCGGCGTACGAACCGCTTGAACGCGCGCTTCCTGCCGCCCAAGCAGATCCTCAACGTGCTTCTCAGCGAAAGGGTTTGGTGAAATCCCAAGTTCCAATGTGGACTGTTGACGAATAACACTCCCATAATATGAAAAGAGAACCTGAAGAGGCTCCAAAAAACCATTCATTACAATCCAAATTGCAGGGGGTAATTCATCATTACTTGTAGTACTCCGGTGTCCAATTGGACCAAGTCCGTCCAGGTCGATTTTCCGCGTAATGGGAAGATCCGTCCGAGTCCGACCTGGACAGGTCTCCCCCGCCTGTAGAGTCCAAGAAGCTGGATGTGGACATGGATGTTTATTTTGGAGGAAGCACGAGCTCACTGGAGCTGTAAATGGCATCCTTAGAATTCCTTAGATGGGTTCTGATATGGTGTCATGCCCCAAAAGCTAGTACGTTCCTACAACAGTCTGAATTGGTGTCCATGTATCCCACATGATCCCACATGCTTATAAACGGTTTTTTCGAAGTTTGGAAACAACCAAGTCTTGGAACAAGCCAAGTGGAAGATCAATATACCAGCACCCTCCAACAGGTCTCCTCTGGATCTGGAGGCTTCTGTAGACTCCGCCCCCCCGGGGAGGTTCGTGATGCCGACGGACTTCCAGCGGCGCCTCTACCGGAGCTTCCTGAAGTCCAACGTGCCTGGGGGCCGGTCGCGAGAAGAGACGGTGACGGAGAGAGATGTCCGGAAAACACAAGGATCACAGAGGAACTCAGGTCATGAAGTAGTAGATGTTTTTAAATGCGTGGTTAATATTTGTTGTGTTATTTTTTTGAGATCTTGAGGAACATGCAAGATCACATGGGGATTCCCGGCGTTTCTTTGATTGATGGTTGGATTTGACCTTGACATTTGCTAGAATACGGGGAGGATAGTAAGTATGTAGCTTGGGAAATTGGATCTGGGGGATGAACGTAAGGGGTCGTGAACCAGGGTTTGACCGCCTCATCTCTGATCATTAATGCCCCGCCCCCAAACCGTGACTTTGGATGGTGATGGGAAAGATTTGCATCCTTGAACTTGCTACGAGGGTGTCTCTCAACAACTCTTCATCGACAATATCGAAGCTGATCTCATGACTTCTTCCCATTTCTCGTTTCTTTACCATCACTGTTCTCAAAGTGGAATTTTCAGAGGGGGGAGGCCTCCTTCAATGGCAGCTGCACAAGCGTATACTGCACGGGGCTTGCTCGGGGCTTTGGCGCAGCTGCTTCCCAGGTGGCGCGGAAACTGCTGGAGGATCAGAATTGCAAGCTGACAGGGTCAGTTCTCAGCACCATCAAGAAGCTTCAAGGTGAGATGGGGTGCGACGCAAGAGATGGAAGCATGTGGAAGCAACCCCACAAATTTGTTCATACTAGTAACCTGACATAATATATATATATATATATGGCTGTTCTATTGGTTTGACCACCTACCAGTAGGCGCCTATAGACTGGATGTGGCTGGATATGACCTGACCAAACCCGATCAACTCCACGCCACGCGCCCGTCTTCCGCACGTCGACACGTCTTCGGACGTCGCACCGGGGCGCAAAATTCAGATGGGTTAGATGAGTGTCATAATGACCCAACCTAGTACACTCCCTGAAAGAAGCATGGAAGTGAAACAGTTTGGCCTTTGGAAGAGCATTTTCCTCTACTTCCCCTGCTCAGCTGCCATGATCGTCCCACCGGGTGTAGATCATTTTTGGGACTTCTACCTTTTTGATCCTTTTTAGCCATATCGTGTTCAGCTGTTCTCATCCGTTGCCATGTGCCTTTTTTTGTCAGCTCATCACGTGACGAGGCTTGGTGAACCACCCCTTCTTGGTGCGCTCAGCCCAACAAAAGCTGGAGGTCGGGTGTCTCTCTGACGGGCCCAGGCGTTTTCGTCATGTGCCGCCTCCAATATTCAATGGCGCGTGACGGACAGATGCGTTAACCAAGCCGGTAGAGTAAAATCTAGATTCTACGGTACGTAGAAAGGCTTCCCTGCAACCAGGGTGATTATTCCGGTTCAACCCGGGCTTGAGGACAAATGGGTTTGGTGCCCTCAACGCCCGCAAAAAAGAGTTCAAAGTCAAAACCCTCCCCCCAAAGCATGGTAGAGAAAACATCTGCATTTGGCAAGATGCCTACTAAAGCTACTACCCACCATGTCTATGGCAGGTGACCCCAGCATTTGTCCTCCCCCCCACTGGTGCGTTCCGATCCGATCCGACCAACGACTCCTACCGTTGGAGCCCCGGAGCCCTGCAGGCTGGATTTGATGATGATGAGACTCGTGTGACTGGACTGTGCCAGCGAAGGGTTGGACCTGTGCGTTGGAGCGTGCCGAGAGGAACAAGGGTTCAAGAGGGTGGCGAGGGGCGCCAGAGACTGTCAGCTCCTCCCTTTTGTTTCTGATAGCTTTTTGTTACTACTAGTAAGGCACTTGTTACTAGTAGCGATGCACTTGTTACTAATAGCTTCTTGTTCCTGGGTCTGAAGATCTGAGAACATCTGAGAGAGGAGATGAACATCGTGGGAGAGACTCAGTGTGGCTTCGCACGCACCGAGCGCCCCAACCGCCGCGATCTGCGCGCGTCTCCGAGGCCATGTTCGAAGAGATCGACCGCATGGACAAGAGCCTCCGTGCCCGTGGGGCGGAAAAGCCCGTGCGGGAGGCCAGGGAACGGGAAGAATTGGTAGTATCTGATATGCGTCATGAAGTAATTCACTTCACACCCCTAAAACTTTTGTGGGACTTTGATGCTTCCTTCTTGGGTGAGAAACCGTAGCTTGGGCCCCATGTCCATTCATTCGAGACCTCCTAGAGTAAAGACAACATATCTGACTGCAGCATCCTCCATCCACGGGTCTAGACCATGTGGTTCAACGACGCCCTCCAGGGGCCATATAGGATGGGTCATAGGATGCCGTTAGAGGACAGAGGACGCAGATGAAGCAATTCACATCGAGTCTCAGCTTGAATCATCGAGTTTCCGTGTTCAAAGCTGCACATGTGACCGGAACGCGATCAAGCGTGTGTCACGGGAAGCGAGAGGTCAGCGATAACGAGCACTACGATGTTGTCATGTTGACCCGCTTTGGGTGGTTCAAGATAGAAAAAGATATAGAGACCGTAGTAGAGACCGATGATTTAATCCCTTTGTGACCACTTTGAAAGCTTCCGCTGGCCTGGATCACACAGAGGTGTTTTGAAGAGTGACGAGTCGGTTTCGTACTGGACTTAACGGGGGATGATGGGACTTAATGGGGTGAGCTGCTCAGCCTTATTTGGGAGGGAGTAGTACACTCCTCAAAATGATTTTCATGGAAGTCTAAGTGGAACCCCCCTTGGTCATCCAAGGGGGGCTTTTTTTTGGCAGTTCCATTGATCATTTCCGCCGCGAGTAGTACTGTATTTCAATGTTCAAGCTTTGTGGCTCGCCTGTGTTTGACGCTGTCACAGGAACTCTCGGGGAAGTTGGCCTTGGTCCACCAGATCTTGGCACAGATCAAAGCTAGTGGGAACGGCGACGCTTGGACATCGCTTAAATGGAGTGAAGAGCTGAACTTGTTCAGATTCACAGCCAAAAAGCAAAAAACAAAGCATCAAACAAGCTTGTCCCAAGGGCACAAGCCAGACTACCAGAGGAATGGTGACCAAGAAGGGAGGTGAAGAGATTTCCAACACCACCCGCTAACACCGAGGATCGGATCGTGTTGATCTCCAATTGGACGCAGACCTTAGACCTCATCGAGCGGCTTTGCGCCTCGGAGGGTCCTCCGGGGGTTGTTCAACCGTCGAATGCCGTCGTAGGCTGAAAAGGATGAGTTGGCTGATGCCATATATGCGTCGTAGGCTGTTGAGGAGTTGAGGTCGGAGGATCTGTTTAGAAGTTAGGTGATTCTGTAGGAGGATCTATATCAGTCGGAGGATCTGTCGGAGGATCTGTATCAGTCAAAGATTAGACCAAATGTTTTGGCAAACCAGGCCCTTGAGGGTCTGCCAAACCTAGCCTAGAACGGGATTGCTGGATTTTCTGGGGGGCAGGTCGAGGATGGTCGGAAGGAAGGTGGACTGTGGACTGATGCCATCTCCGCCGCATGACATCTACGGGGACCTTTGCTACCGGCAGGGCCTCACGGGCCTAACGGTCGCAGGTCTCCGAAGAGAGGTGCCAAGGTCCCACTGTGACCCATGGTCAGGGAACCGTTTTCCATTTGCGACGTGTTGGTCACCCGCTCCCAGACACACCCCTAGGCTACCCTTGAGCCCTCGGGTCAGGGAACAGACACATATACCAAATGACGCTGGCGTCCGACGCTCTGGCCACATCCTGAACATCGACGTAGCCAGGAGGACAGGCGTCCTGCCTTTCCAACACCCACGTGATCCGCGGATCGCGTGACTCCGCGACGCCGTGACGCTCCAAAAGCCCTCGCCGTGAGGCGCACAATGCAAGTGGCCCACGCACCGCTTGGACGGCAGCATGGCCATCATGAAGCGAATGAAGCTGGCTCTTCGGCAGAGATCTGGAGAGGAAGCGTTTTAATGGGTGGATAAGTGATGATATGGCTGTGGGCCAGGGTCATTGTTTATCATGAGAAGAATCAGTCTCGGGTGCCAGAAGGACCCCATTGGGTACAGGTTCATAGCCTCATCTCATCATAAGGTTGGAGCAAGCCATGGAAAACGCCCATGGGTCAGATGGTTTGGGAATGTGCTCGCATACATTCAATGGGGAGAGAGGGAGACCCTCAAACCTAGGAGGCTTTGTGGTCGTGTCTATTTTCCCTTGAAGGTGTTGAACTGGGGGTTCCTCAAATGAAGAGACAACCCATTTGCATGTAAGGTCGTAGTGTATTCAGAGACATGGAAACATGTCAAAAACAAAGGATTCAATGAATCCCTGGAACTACCGATATTTGTCCATTTCTGGGAATGGGACCCAAGCATTTTTCCATGTCCATTTTCCATATTATGGGTCTATCATTGGACAGCCCCCCCAAAGTGGAATGTCAGGGTACTCGTTTGTAGCCAGCAGCAAAATGCAGCAAAGATACGGTTTGAGACCGACTGAGCCTTAGCAACCTGACCAAGACCCAGAGTTTGGGCTCTCTGACTTCAGATATCTTCAGATCTGAAAAAGGGTTGATCTGAGCTACGGGAAAAACCATGGTCAGATTAAGTATTTATATCAGATGTTGATGTGAAGATCCAGGTCGCGTCAGATCCAGGAATCGACCGATGGACCGATGTCACGCCGACCTTCACACGATCCGTCGGCCGGTGATCCCGACCTTCACACGGCCGACGCTGGACCTCCGAAACGATGTTCTGCGGCACGGGTTCCCCGTGACGGTGGCAGGTGACCGATTTCAATCGCCCGGAGAACGAGCATGCCTTTGCCTTCCTGTTGTCCTCGACACTTGGCGGCCATTTGGGGGGGGGGGACTCAGCAGACCCGCATGGAGACTGAAGCCATCTGACTGACTGGGCTGCGTGCGTCATGGCCCGCCAACGGCCCGAAAGGGGAGGGGGAACAGCAAACCAGAAAAGGAGGAATCATGTCAGCAAACCAGGGGTTTGGAACCAAGGGATGTGGTTCAATGTTGTTCGTTTCAACTAAGTGTCCACAGCACAATGTCACGAGTCGTTGGCCTATGGACACGACTCAAACACGCTTAAGAATGAGGGTACGATCCAGAATCCAAACCCACTGCTTTATTTGCTTTAGGGAAACTGGGCCAAAAGGCTGAGGGTCCCTAGGCCCTATAGGTCTTCTTTTTTGAGTCACGTCCATTGGAGTTGAGACAGGGAAGCCTGCCAACGCAACAAGCCCCTACGGGAGACCCGGCAGAGAACAGCAGGAGAGGGAGCATGTGCCGTTGGACTCATGTCGACCAGGTCGTCGGAGATTGTGGAAAGGGGAAGGACTTTTCGAGGGATTTTTGGAATCTCGAAAACAGCAAGTAAATTAGGTTAAGCAGAAGGGGACACTCTATGACACTACAGAAACCCTTCACCACTTTTCTTCACCCCAAAGAAGTCCAAAGACTTATTGGTGGACCCCTCAGGTCCATGTCGATCCCTTGCTTGGACCCCCCCCGTTGGGGTAGTCCCTCGAGGAAGGCGGGCGGCTGCGGGCTCAATTTGATTGGCGCCAATCGCTTGGCAACTCGACTGGTGGGGGGGGTGGGAGGATGGGATGGGCCAACGGTTTCCAACACCTCAAGAAGTTCAGAGCTGCAACTGGGAACCAGGGTGCGGCATGAGGAGTTCATGTCTGTTGGCGAATTGGTTTGTTGGCAGTTGGTGGTCCAATTACGTGCTTATACGTGCTTAGTCGATTCTTGTGTTAATCACCAAACAGTCTACTGTGGTCAGGCTTTGCGCGGGTCTGCGGGTCCTGTCAAGATGCAAAACACTCCTGCTGATACTGTTTGGGGTCTATGCTGATGTCATCTTTTTCTACCCAGCGGTCTTGGGACACGCCAGACGGCCCAAATGGGTGTTCATCACAGCATGTGTCCTTGTGCTTTCGGGAATCCCAGCATTTGTTTGTCTAGCTTAGTTCTATATTTCAGTTGTGCTTTTAGATCTATCCATCAAGTATTCAGAAGTTGCATTTGTTTGTTTTGCAGGCCAGGTTAATGAATGACAGCTTTGTCAATAGATGTTAATAGCTATTTTTTGATCAAAGACATCAATCCAGGTCTGAAGTGTTCAATTGCAGGCATGGCCCAAGTAGTGGACTATGCGAGAACAAACACCGCCGGTCCCTGCGAATTGCGGACTCAGCCCTCCCAAGTGATTTCTATATAGATGGGGGTTGGCCAAGCAAGGCATTTTTATGCATGATTATTCATGATGCATCTTTGGGATTTGAGTCAAGAGTTCGCTTTGGGGGGGGTGGCATGTTCTTCCCACTCACCTCAAGCATTGGTTGCAGGACCAAGAACAGCCCGCAAAAATGCACTCGTGGCCCGAAGGTTGGTCCGGAGCCGTAGATCCTGCCGATCCTCTAGGATCCTCCCCCAGCATCCACTCATGGACTTGCTTCGGGGTCACCTTTGTTGCGCGGTGGCTGGCGTGGGATTTGCCGTCAATTATCTACCAGTGAAGAAGTTTGATACCGGAGATGGCATTTTCTTCTGTGCAGCAATGTCCATTGGCATTCTCTCGGTGGGACTTTGGACTGGCATGTTCTTGACCAGCGATGGCTTCCCAGCATTTGAGCCCTTAGCCGCACTGGGTGGAGCAGTGTGGATGCTCGGAAATCTCATGTGTCCCCAGATCATTCAGATGATTGGCCTCGGGCTCGGTCAACTGTGCTAAGCCTTAAGCCATACCTTTTGTTTCACTTGACTTTTTAGCTCTTCAGACTTGAGACGTTGAGGTAGATCCGATTCTTTACAACATCGACCCTCCAAAGTTGTGCCGGAAAACGTTCACAAAACACCGCAGGTTTGACGATGTGGGATCTCAGCAACATGCTGGTGGGATGGCTCATTGGGCGTTTTGGCCTCTTTGGTTTGGAGAAAGACGTGGTGCACGAGCCAATGTTGAACCTGATGGGCTTGATCCTGGCCGCTTTGTCCTTGGTCTTCTTCTTCGTCTCCTCGGTCCTCAACGTGTCACCGGCGCAAGACGCGCGCGGACCCAGCTGCGAGCCGCGCGAGCCCGAAGCGCCGATCGAGCCTGAAGATGAAGAATCCATGAGGTACGGCCAGCAGGCTTCAAAGGTGGGGGTTGGGTCAGTACTAAGCTGTACCAAGCATCCTTTTGAACATGACTTTTTGTATATGTTTGTTGATCTTTTTGCTATTTATTTGGCAGCCGGCAGCTGAGCATCATGCTTTTATCCATCCATGTTTGTGAACATTCTGGATCACCAATCATTCTCATGAATATACTCGAATATAATGAATCATACGTAGTGTACATGATTCACGGGTTCCAATCAGAGATATAAGATATATTGTTTTCATTGAACGACTCTGGTTTAACATTTGCGCTGGTCCTATCGGTGAACATCTGCTAGGTGGAACCGGAACCGCTGGGACTGCCTCGGGTGGAACGTGTCCAGTCATGGATGTCTGAGATGGTCCACCCGCGCGCTGGGCCTAGCTCGTGCCTGGAAGACGGAGCAAAGGATGAGAAGGCTGACTTGAGTCCTGGAAGGCTGATCAGAAGATTGTGTTACAATGACAAGCTTTGTTTGGAAATGTCGGGGGGGAGTATATAGTGTTTCCCTAAAATCTACTGTACACATCCAAGGATAGCAGCGTTGCCTGGGGATGCCACGATTTTTCAGCTCTTCTTTGGTTCTTGCATGTCTATCACTGCTGGCGTGCTTTTTGGCACCACCTTCGTGCTACCCACGGCGTTGAAGGAGGGAATCGTTGGGGATCATCACAGCTCCGACATCATGGACTATGTCTTCAGCCATTTCCTTGGCATTTTTATCACCTCCACCTTGGCCTTGTTCATCTATCTCGGAATCAAGCGGGAAAAGAGCTTCACACCTTTGAGCATCATCGTGCCTGCCATCTGGTCCGGAGTGATCTGGGGCATTGCGCAGGTCGCATGGTTTCAAGCGAACTTGGATTTGGGATTCTCGGTGGCCTTCCCCATGGTCGCCAGCCTTCCTGGAGTTATTGGTTTGGCCATCGGCATTTGCTGCTTCAAGGAGTCGTGAACACAAGCTGTTCGTTTTAGTATCAAACCACGTCATCCTCCAGAAGGAAAACTTCAACACACGGACAGAGTACATATGAACATCCCCAGACACTCCATGTATGCCATATATGCCTACATTGACCCCCAAAACCACCCCAATGTAGGCATATATGGCATACATGGAGTGTCTGGGATCATTGAACAGAACCCTCCACCGCGGGACCGGACAACAGAACCCGCTTCGGCTTCATCGGGAAACCGTTGTCTCCGTCGGCAGAGCGTGATATGGGCGACCAGAGACCGCGGTCTCGACTGCAAAACCCGCCGGAAGGTGCTATGGCCCAATGAAGGGGTGTGATTATGAGATGTCTGTGAACGGGGTCAAACGCAAAAGACTGTCACAGTGCCGGCCTCCACGAGTTTTCTCGCATTTTTTGTGGGTCTTAGATGTTGCACCCACCACTTAGGTCCCCGGTGGTGTCCAAGATCCACCCTCGTTGCAAAACCCACGTCCGTAGGAGGTGGAGGGTTTCCACGCGCGCATCTTCGCGGCTTTGGGCCTTTTGCTTCGTATACCGGGGATGGTGTTCATCGCCATCTCAGCATGAGTCAGCATAGATATACAATACCCAGATATCCCCGGAAGGGAGACACAGCAGCAAATCTTCCACTCGTGTGGCACTGAAGTAATTAGCTGCTATTTTGCAGTGCCCAGTGAGTTCTAACTCACCGTTTTCCTGGCCACTGAACATGCATGTAGTACAGCTGTCACGGCACAGGAAGAGCACATGGGAGAGCTTGCCAACTTGAAGAGGTTGGATGTTCCATCATGGACTCTGTTCAGAGCATTTGTAGTGCAAGGAAGTCCACCATGATTTGCATGATCTGCAGCCAGCAGCAAATGCTAATTATGCAAATGCTGCTCCCACTCAAGTGGGACAGTTCTGGCGCCCTTTTACACCAGGACAGGCAAGAGTTGGTCAAGTTCGACTTCAGCCTCAGGAATTCTGGCTGATTGGGAATCGAACTTCTACCTACTATTTTTTCAGCGTGATTACCAAATACTAGATGTTTAGATCAATTTTGACCATCGATTCATCGATGGATTATGGAATGGTGGAGGTGGAGGCTGTTTCTTTTGGGGTTGCGCTTCTTTGATTGATCCTTTTTGGCAATTCTCACTGCTGGCACCGGAGTGGATTTCCCTTACCGCCGTGTGTCAGCGGCTCCAACGAAGAAACGCAAACCTTTCTAATCCCACCTCATGTTTTCCGATCTTTAGAAAGGCCCCTTCGTATAGATCCCTTTGGGCGAAAATGTGGCTGTTGCCCTTCGCCATCTTCTCGCGTACCCTGCCAAATCCACACCTTGCACATACTTGCACCCCAACCACTGGGTACCTGGAAGACCTCATGGCTTCTGTTTTGGAAGACCTCTTCGGACCCAGGTGATGTTCGACCCAGACTGGAACCCGGCCAACGACAGGCCGCCGAACCGGGACGTCCGGGTGGAACGTGCCCCGACCCGGCGCGGGGATGGTCCGAAGGCCCGGGAGGGGATGCGTTGGTGAAGCAAGAAGTGAAGCCATGAAGCCTCCACCTACCCTATCCCACCAGATACTGGCACGGGACTGGCATATGTTCCGAGATTTGGGGTGGCGGAATGGGGGGGTCAATGTAAATAAGGATTTTTCCATGATCTTGTCCCACGAATTGTTTGGGGTATTATGGGACATTTTGCCTGCAAACATCTTGGGAGTGACATGTTTTTGACCTCTTTGCAGCCCGGTCACAGAGTCACATGTTCATACCTTTTGTCGGGTGGAGACCCCCAACCCCATACCATTTTGAGCGTATTGAGTTAACACAGATCAGAAGAAGCACCCAGGCTCCCGAAAGCTCCGAAGGAACAACTCGAACATGTCAGTGATTTCTTGGCTCGAACGCCATGTTCACTGAGCACGAGGATCATCCCACTCAGTACTTCAATCACCTCAGGTCACCCCTTCTGAAAAAGGGGGCCGGTAGCTGTTTGAAGCGTTTTTTCGGTGCCGGATGGGTGTCCTCCGAGCTGGGGTCGACGAGCTGCAAGCTGGAGGAAACTGCCCCCCCAAACCTGTGTGGTTCTACTTCTTCACACCCAGGCTCTGCGTTTAGCCACTGCCAAGAAGGGCAACTGGGAAGTGGGAGACGAGGACCAGGAACGGGAGGACATGGGAAGTAGACAGGAGAATCATTTGGGAATTCTTACGTAAGACTGGAGGACCTGACTTTGCACCTGGTCACCTAGAAATCGGTCCGAAGAGTGGACGTTCGTCAACTATACCCGGACGTTCCACGCATGCGGTCCATTATGTGGTGGTTATTAGCGGTGAATGTAGGCAATATTTGCATACATGGAGCGTTTGACACGCAGAACTTCTGCCTTTGAAAAACCTAGCTCCGCTGGGGTTTCTTGCGTTGTTCGCCAGGCAGGCGATGGCACGGGTGTGGCGCGATGGGCAAAAGAAGCCGTGCTACATCTACCGGCTCTTCACCACCGGGACGATTGATGAGAAGGTCTACCAACGCCAGATCTGCAAGGTGAGTGGCCATCTCTGGGAAGAGTGGTTGGGCTTTGTTGATGAAACAGTGAGAAAAACAGTTTTTTTGCTGTGGGCGAGAGAAGAGAGTTTTCATAAGTGTAATGGGCCATGTTGCACATGGTCCTGTCGGGCAAGAGAGCCATGCCAACCATGTTCATCCCGACAGGTGCAATGATCTTGAAAGGAATCGATTGTCTTGAGTCAAATCACAACTTCAGAACTAATTACATTCTGGAAGATCAACATGGAACCTGAAAACGACTGGTCTTCCAAAGGTCCATTTTCAGGTTCCATGTTAATTTTCCCGGGTGTATAGTGTATAGTTAGTTTTGAGATGTTTTGAGGATTGCTTCCTGGCAGGATGGCCTTTCAAACATGATGGTCACGGAGACAGGCCCGTTCCCGGGGTCGTGGCAGGGGTTTATATACTGGGGTGATTTGTTTCATAGCCGGCGACTCGTGCCCATCTGAGGGATTGGATGTTTTCTGAAAAATCTGTGATATCCCATTGAGGCAGTGCTTGCCAATCTTGTGCAGCCACAAGTGGATGGATTGGATGAGGGAATTTCACCAATTCGGTTACGAGGATGACGGGCGACCTTTTGTTCGATTCCCAAGAGGTTGCTTGAACTCCCGGTTTTCTTTGACTCTTTGACTTGCCTGCTGCCTGATAGATCAGATTCAAGACCAAAAGCGACCAAGAAAAAACAATGACCACAGGTGAGGTGGATGGGAACCCATACACGATCTTTGAAGGTCGACCAAGGCAGTCTTACGGGGACTTTCGAGAAGTACATCCACAGCAATTGTATTGTACCACGTTGGCTCGGATCTATTTGGCTGCTGCCAGATTGGCATTTAGGCCCAAACATGCACTGGCTTTCAGATGAATTTACATCACAAGCCCCCCTACTTGCTTGCAGCGTTGTAGAGCAGTGTGTTCTATTTTGATGGTTTAGGACACCATCACAACTCCGTGAACTCCAACCTGAAGACCTTGGCAAGACCGAGGTCCCGTCACCCGATGGTCGACGGTGGAGGTGACAACGAACAGACAGCGTGGGGGGTTGGTGAAATTGCAGTCACCAACCCCCCCCGCTGGCCATTGGTTCATGTATATATACCCAGACACTCCATGTATGCCATATATGCCGATCAGTTGGGGTGATTTTGGGGGTCAATGTAGGCATATATGGCATACATGGAGTGTCTGGGATATATATATATGCGGTATGCCGCATGTTATATTCCAAACATCTCTTCAGGATTGGCGTGCTTGGCGTTCTGCGGCAACTTCCTGAACAGAAAAACCCACCCCCCTTCGCTGGGAACCCTGGTTCATGGGGTTCCTCCCAGGTTGTGGGTGATTTTGTACGTCCACTGTGGGTGAATCGCTGGAAAGAAGGGGAAGACATGGGAATACGCTCCATGTATGGAATATATGCCGATCAGTTGGGGTGATTTGGGGAGTCAATGTAGGCATATATGGCATGGGAATATACCAATACACTCCGACGAACACATCACATGCAAGTGGAGTTCACCCCCTGCTTCGTAAAGGAAAGGAGTCTGACGAATACGGGACGATGCCATCCACTTCCATGTGATGTGTTCGTCAGAGTGTACCAGCTGCTTCCAAGGGGTCACCAATGGATATCTCCACACTACTTACAGGTCTCCATTGGGCACCCCTTGGAAGCGCTAAGTATGTTTTTTTGATGTTTTGTGTATTTTCCCAGTTTCTCGAGCAAATCCACGAGTTTCGGAAGCTCGTTCGGTGCCGACTCTGACAGGAGAGGATGAAGCGCAGATGACCGAAAGCCTGGCATCGGATCTGGTGAAGGACGGAACCAATCCCACAGAACACACAGGGCTCGGCTTTTTGGGGGTCCACTTCGATGCAGAGAAGGGTTTTCCAGACCCATGTCCACACCCACGAACCTTCATGTTCCTTGATTCGAGGGCATTATGCGCCAATCAGGATGCCCAATCTCAAACCCAAGCTCTTGGTGGAACTTGCTTGCAGCACCCAAGACAAAAACGAGACCTGATCCACAAACAGTTCAACGGTTGTTATATAAACTCATCCATGTTGACTTCGGCCCTTCCATTCCATTCACCCAGACTTCACTGCAAAGCCTCGCGCCGATCGGTTTGGAGTCGCGCAGTATAGTAAAGCAGTTCAGAATTTGGAGCAAACCCATCGGGTGTGTGTATTCCAATTAGGGAGACCTCCAGGAAGGAAGATAGACGATGTCTTAGGCGAATCCAAGACCCTACAAACCCTAGATCTCTGTAGACCCCAACAATCACACGTCAGAAATCCCGGCCGTCAGAAATCCCAAGTTTAAGAGACACCAAGCCGAGTTAAGAGACACCAAGTTGAAGAATTTCAGAAATTCAGAAATTGTTAATTTCTGAATTTACGTAAAGAAGTAACGTTTTTCAGTACTTCAGAAATTGTTAATTTCCGAATTTCCGCCAAACTATGTAAAAAAGTAAAGCTTTTCAGAAATTCGGAAATTGTTAATTTCCGAATTTCCGCCAAACTATACATAAAAGTAAAGTTTTTCAGAAATTCGGAAATTGTTAATTTCCGAATTTGCGCCAAACGATGTAAAAAAGTAAAGTTTTTCAGAAATTCGGAAGCTGTTAATTTCCAAATTTCTGCCAAACTATACATATAAAAGTAAAGTTTTTTTTTCAGAAATTCGGAAATTGTTAATTTCCGAATTTCCGCCAAACGATGTAAAAAAGGAATTTTTCAGAAATTCGGAAATTGTTACTTTCCGAATTTCCACCAAACTATGTAAAAAAAGTATAATTTTTCAGAAATTCGGAAATTAACACGATATAGCAATTCAGAAATAGTTCATTTCGGAGTTTCCGATAAACGATGTAAAAAGTACAGGTTTTCATACCTTCCGACATTGCTCATTTCCTATTTTTCGCCAAACCAGACATTGCGCAGGCAGCGTCCGGCTGCCAGCCAGAAGTGAAACGTTTGTACTTGCATTGTAAAATTTGCCATCTAGCCTCTTTTTCTCATCTCGGCGCACCCACTGAACGCATGGCACGCCCGCCGAACACATGGCTCTTCAAGTGGAACACCATCAGACCAGCAGATTTGGGGAGTGGCTGGTCGCGCTGGATGATGGGCAGCTTCTCTTTCGCCAAGGCAAGATGCGTTTGTTGGCTCCACCTCCGGCAGCGCCCCCAACAGCGCCAGGACAAGATGACGAGTCGGATGACCGCGATGGGTGTTTTTATTGGGTCCTTCCGAAGCATTGTTCGAATCAGGGTGCTTTAGGCAAAAGTGGCCTGACTAGCAAGAGCCTTACAGGCATTCCGGCTGTCAGGCAGAATCCAGCTCTTTTCCAGATTCCGTCGCGGCAAAGACCTGCGTGCTCTGTGCGGCTGACAGCCAGCCACCTCGAAGAGAATTGCAACCCGAAACCAAAAGGTATCCTGCATGGGCACGCGCTCCGGTTTTCACTTTCGAGGCCAAGCAACCAAACAGATCTTGAGCCGCTTGAATCTGTAAGATGTAAGGCTTCTGACTGAGTGTTGAACTTGTTGAGCGCGCTCAGGGCATGGAGCGCGCGCAGGGCAAGTCGATCTTCAGCAGCCTCAGCCTCAAGCGTAGTATCGTCTAGTTTTGTATGGCTGCTGAATCCGGCTGACAGCCAGCTCATGCCGCCCAAATACCAAAAGAAAAGACCTTCGGGCAAAAGCGGCTGGGCAGCGCGCAACCAAAAAAGGTCACAACGTAGAAAAACATTGCGCGACGTTGCCCTGCGCCATCATCGCTTTGTGGTTGGGCGCCTGCCGCCGATCAAGCCACTCCTGCGCATCAATGGCAAGCAGTCAGCGCTCATGGCCTGTAGGAAACTGTCCAAGGTGATGGTAGACAGTGAAGCGCAGACCGACGCCAATGGCACTGAGAGTCAGCTGAGCGAGCTGGCCAGTCAGCTGCAGCGCGAGAAGGCAGCCAACGCGGAGCTCTTGCAGCTGCTGCTGAAGGATGAGCCGAGCCATATGTGGTCTGTGTGCTCTCCCGCTGCCAGCGAGATGAGGATGCCACCAGAGCACCAGCAATGACAATGA